TAATTGTTATACATATATATATATATATATATATATATATATATATATATATATATATATATATATATATATATATATATTGCAAAGTTCCCGTGCATTTGTTGCTTCCCGTGCGGATGTGCGGTGGATTAATGTGCGTGAGATTTGTACACAATGTGCGTTAGTGTTGTGCTTAATGTGCCTGAGATTTGTACTTAATGTGCGTGAATGTGTAAAATGCAGCAGAAAATATTGATGTCAGCTTCTTCCCCATCCCCAGTAGCCATTTGCCCCCTCCCTGATGATGATGATGCGGAGACGGGCTATGGTGATTAAGAATTATGGGAATAATACAACAGAAATCCACACTTAGTTACTGTGCAAATTTTACTGTACGTGCGTCATTTATATAAACATTCAATTGCACTGAAGGTAGCTGATAATCCAGAATCCATGGCCAAATTGAAGGAAGAAGTAACAAGAAGCTTGGGCGTTAATGTGCGTGAGTTTCTGTTCTGCTTCTTTCTGAGCTTATAATTCTGAAATACTCACGCACATTAAGCACAAATCTCACGCACATTAAACACAATACTCAGGCACATTAAGTACAAAACTCACGCATATTAACATGACACATATTAAGTACAAATCTCAGGCACATTGAGTACAAATCTCACGCACATTAAGTATAAACCTCACGCACATTAATCCACCGCACATCCGTACGGGAAGCAACAAATGCACCTGATCCCTTCCCCATATATATATATATATATATATATATATATATATATATATATATATATATATATATATATATATATATATATATATATATATATATATATAATTAAACCAATCATATTAACTACCTTGGGGATTTATTGACAAAAAGAGTATTTAAATCATTCACACAACAAATTGAAGTGGGAAACTACCTTGCAATGTCCTTGTTTGGCAATCAACAGTTAGCTCTTCAATATTAGTATATATTTAATATTTTATGCCTTAATTTTTATTTGCTCTCCCTTATGTCCCGTATTTGGTTTCAACCATACCTATACAATTATTTTATTGACAATTATAATCAATCTTGACTATATTATCTTGCATTCGTAAATTTAAAATTACCTATTTAAATACGCAAATTCAACATTCAAGTATCTATGCATGAACAATTCTAATATAATCTTGCATTTATATACTTCAGAGTACTTATTTAAAAAAATATTGGACATTATCCCAATCGCGCAATGCGCGTAAAAAACTAGTAGATATAGATAAATATCATATCATATTTTTCTTAGTATGAAAAAAAAAAATTATTTTAAAATTTGATATTAATATCCAAATTTTGTTTCAGAATTTACTTTGATAATATTGTAAATTTTTTTTTATTATGTTAAATAGTAAATAGATGTTTGAAAAATGCTCAATTTTGTTTCTAAATGTTTCCAAGCCCTTAAATTTAGCAAAATCAAAACCACTTTAAGGTTGCGCGAGTTGCGAGCTAGAAATTAGGAGAATTACTGGCGATAAATTTTCCAATGCATTATTGAGAATATTATAGGTTGAATAGACCAAAATTTTCTCATTCTTAACGCCATTAAAATAGACTTGTTGACGAATGATAAAAAAAATAGTCATGCCCCAATAATTCTAAGACCAATGGAGGATATTTTGACATTTAAATAGATTTGTTGATGGATGACCATAAATGGTTAAGTCACAATAATACTTAGATCGACAAGAAATAGATTCGAATTTGTGCAGGTTTGAAACACTAAGGGACTGCTACGCAGTCAATGGGACGAAGTAAGACATTGAGGGACTGCTATGTAGTCAACTAACTTAGGAAAAATATTTTTACTAACTGATCCGGACCATACCCTGTCAAGGGTACGCATCTTGCGCAGATGCTTTTTACTTCATTTCTTGAAATAATTTACAGGTAGTCAAGCAGTCAGCCAGATGAAAACGACAGATATATAATGAGTTGGCGCTTGGTCGGCCGTGCCCCCTTAAAAAAAGAGTCGGCGCTTGGTCGATCATGCCCCCTTGAAAAAGGAGTCGACGCTTGGTCGACCGTGCCCCCTTGAAAAAGGAGGCGGCAAAATTTGGTTCTACTGATAAAGTTGATTTTGAGGCAAGACAATATACTTTCCTATGCCATGCTAAGTGCGAGACATAGAAAAGTGAGGGACTGGTGATGGGTACCCGATTGGACCACTTTAACCCCTTCACAAAATCCCAAAATAAATTCCCCGTTGACTAGCCGTTATTTTTTCTTATCAACCATAATGCCTATTAACTACCCCTTAACCCCCAATATTAAAACTTAGAGTTAATGAACAATTTGGTCCCTCAATTATTAACGAACTGTCAATGTAACCCCTCAATTGCTTACTCATCGATTTGGTCCCCGAAAACAATTATTTTTAGTCGATTTAGTCCCTCAGACCGTCTTCCGTCAATGGCCGGAGGGACTAAATCGACTAAAAATAATTGTTTTTGGAGATCAAATCGACGGTCAGAGAGACTAAATCGGCTAAAAATAATTATTTTCGGAGACCAAATCAATGAATAAGCAATTGAGGGACTACATTGACAGTTCGCTAATAATTGAGCTACCAAATTGTTCATTAACTCTAAAACATATTTATCTACCTCATCCTAACTCCCCAACTTAATTATCCCACTAAATTACCCAACTTAATATCCATAACCCCCTTAGCTAATTATCTACTCCATAAATCCTATTAAATTCTACCCAATGGCTACTACCTAGCTGATTGCTATAAAGGTGATGTGAAGGATAACGAAAAAGGGGGGCATGACTCTTTCCACTCTTTCACAAAGTATTCTTCCACAACCACTCTCCCACATACTATTCTCCACACTAAGAAAACTCTCTCAAGCAGTCTTCCTCTCAACAAGTAGGTTCCATATTCATTCACATGAAGAAGACTCCATCACTCTTCCTCACACAAAGACACAATATTCATCTTCAACATCAGAGGGAAGCTCTATTATTCATCTTCACATGAAGCCCCATTCTTCTCAACAAAAGCTCTATCTCAACATGTACGAAAATAGCCACACAAATATATGTACAAATCCCTACAAAAGTAGTGAAAGTATTTTGACTTGGCACCGCCCAAAAAGGCTCGTGGTTTTCCTTTCGATTTTCACGTAACAATCACCGCGTCATATTATCTTTTTATATTCTATTTTCCAGCTACACAGATTATTCATTTTTTGCACCTTTAGTTTTCCGGTGAATCCACTAACTACCGGTTGTGTTGGGTCCCCGTGAGCTGCCAAAAACCCTAAAACCAACAACAACAATTCTAAAATGTTTTTAAATGGTAAAATCAATTAAAAGTTAAAGAAATAAAAATCAAAATTAAGGGGGAGGGGGCCAGATAAGCCATGAGTCAAAATTTTAAGCTCGAGCTTGAATTAAATTTTAACTAAACAATTCACAAATAACTCAACTTATTTGAAGTCAAACCTATAACCATACTTAAGAAGTAGGCTTTTTCAAAAGTGTATTAGTAATTAGTACATTGTATAAATTATTTTTTGTATTAATATATGTTTTAACTACCAAATTATTTTAGTATAAACTCATTAATTTTTATTTAATCAAAAATCGCAATTATGCTGTGGAAACGTGTTCACCATGCGCATGGTAAATAGAGGGGTAGATCCATAATTTCTATGTTGTAGATACATAATTTTTGTTTTTCATTTATTGTTAACGACGTTTCTCTCTTTGCAATCGCATTATTTCGTCTTCGCAGTACAGATATTATGAATCTACAGTACATATATTATGAATCTACCGTACAGATATTATGAATCTACAGTATAGAAATTATGAATCTACAGTACAGATATTATGAATCTACCGTACAGATATTATGAATCTACAGTATAGAAATTATGGATCTATCCGCATGGTGAGCACGGTTCCACAGCATAACTATTGATCAAAAATTGCATCGACAGCAGGATTCGAACCTGCGCAGGCAAAGCCCAATAGATTTCAAGTCTATCTCCTTAACCACTCGGACACATCGACAAGTTGGCTTCCCCTCTGCTGTAGATTGATAATTTCTATGTTGTAGATTCATAATTTTTGTTTTTCATTTGTTACGTTGTTAACGACGTTTCTCTCTTCGCAATCGCAATATTTCGTCTTCGCAGTACAAATATTATGAATCTACAGTACGGTATAAAAATTATGAATCTACAGTATAAAAATTATGGATCTATCCCGCAGCATAACTATTGATCAAAAATTGCATCGACAGCAGGATTTGAACCTGCGCAGGCAAAGCCCAATAGATTTCGAGTCTATCTCCTTAACCACTCGGACATATCGACAAGTTGGCCTCCCCTCTGCTGTAGATTGATAATTTCTATGTTCTAGATTCATAATTTTTGTTTTTCATTTGTTACGTTGTTAACGACGTTTATCTCTTCGCAATCGCAATCGCATTATTTCGTCTTCGCAGTACAGATATTATGAATCTACAGTACGGTATAAAAATTATGAATCTACAGTATAAAAATTATGGATCTATCCCGTGTTCACCATGCGCGCAGGCAAAGCCCAATAGATTTCGAGTCTATCTCCTTAACCACTCGGACATATCAACAAGTTGGCACTCCCCTCTGCTAAATTCGTTCTAATACTATAACAAGACCACTTGCTATCATTACTCTCAAGGTATGACCATGCTCAAATAGGAAATTTCATTTTGGGGGATAAGATCAGAAGAGTGTAAGACAATGCTGAAACTCCTCACAATCTTTATGCTACATCTGAAAAAAAAAATGTGAAATTTATCAACATGGAAAAGATGGGCAAGTCAAATTGAAGAAAGGCATCTCAGTTGTGAAACTGTCTTTCCAATTCTTAATAATTAGAAAGCAGAATTCTCAGAGAAGGCAATAGTATCTGGAAATAAAGAAACAAGAAGAAGCAGCAGCAGCTAAAAGCAAAAGTATGAAACAAGCTTGCAAAATAGTAGGGAGTAGTAAGTATTATGGTTCCAAGTGTCAGATAATACACCAACATTCAAAAAGCATGGAGATCTCAAAGGTGGGGGAGCACATCTACATTGGGTCCTACTAATGTACCTTCGAATGTGGAACATATCCTAGGAATTATCAAAAAAATAAAAAAAAAGAAATATACAGAGTGATCTTGTATAAGGCGGCTGATCTGCTGTCATGTTTCGACCCAAATCGTGTGTTTCTGCAAATCAGCTCGGAAAAATTCCTCGGGTTTCCTGGGAGATAGAGCTGTCATGGAAGAGGTTGAAAAAGATTGCTATTATGAGGAAAGAAATCTGCCATCAAGATTACTAAAATGCCAAATATTCAGAATGAATTTAAAAGTATCTTCTCCATAGAGCAAACACATTCCAATTATACTAGCAATATTTTCTAGAAGAAATCAAACTCCAGGTAATTATCAGAGCCTTTCTGATTGGGGGCCACTGCGACAGGAGTCGCTTTTTCGCTTGTTGATGCTGCTGGAACAGGCAATTTCTCGAATTCGACTGGCTTTGGGACCTCGGGGGGCGTAGCGCAGCGTATCAACGCCCAGTTCACTCCTTCGAAGAAAGGGTGCTGCTTTATTTCAGTGGCTCCCTTTTTATAAGCCAATCGGTTCTGTGGTTCTTTAATGAGCAGCCCGCGTATGAGATCCCTGGCAGCAAAGCTCACAACGGGTGATTCTGGAAATCTAAGTGGCTGCCCCACGACGTTGAATAGCGTGGCTCGGTTCCCGGAGCCTTTAAACGGGGTTTTACCGAATAAAAGCTCGTACAGAAAGATCCCGAATGTCCACCAATCCACAGCACTTCCATGGCCTTCGCCTTTAATTATCTCTGGTGCCAAGTATTCGTGCGTCCCGACAAATGACATGGACCGGGCACTGCTGGGCTCTGCAATCAGCTCAGGTAGAGGGGAAACTTGGTTGCCAATATCGGTTTTCGGTTTTCTGCTCTTCTTGGACTTGCTAGAAAAGAGGCGAGGAGAGAAGCAGGTTGTGGTAACAGCACAAGACGGTTGAATGCAAGAGGGCTCGATGCAAGCGGGCTGGACACAGTAAACAGAGTTCTTCCGGAGAGGGTCCGACTCCAAAGTTGACGTCTTCACTAGAGTCGGGCTGACAGCACAACGAAGTGAGAGGTCAAAGTCCGAGAGCATTATGTGGCCATCTTCTCTCACCAGGACGTTTTCTGGCTTAAGGTCGCGGTAGATAATTCCAAGCATGTGGAGATATTCCATAGCTAGAAGGACCTCAGCCACATAAAATCTGCAACACGATAAATATAAGCTGTCATAAATATAGCCAAAAGCTATAGCTAGTAGCGAAGACGCAACTTTATTTCCTTATACCGCCACACATTTTCGAGACACTGGGTGCTGGACTTGGCCTTTTAAGCCCTTTACCGACCTCCGCCCAACAATCCCCCAGCCACCGGGTGCTAGACTTGGCATTTACCAGCCTCCGCCCAACACCGAGGAAAGAGGCTTTTGTTAGTCAACAACCAAGGAGACAAGGCCCTGTTTGGTAAAAAATTGGCCGATAGGCCAATTTTGGCTTATTTGACCACTATTAATTGTTTGATTTAGTTAAAATATCAATATAAGTGTTTGGTTAATTAGCTTTTTGCAACTCCAAAATGCTAAAATTCAAAAAGCTACTCCAAGCAACTTTTTCAATTAGCTTTTTCAGAAAAGAAATTATATTAAACAGCAACCAGCTAACAGCTAATTTACCAAACACTTTTCTACAACAGCTAATGTTATCAACTAGTTATACCCTCTAATTAACACAATCAGCTAACAACCATTTACCAAATAGGGTCAATAACAACACAATATCTTTGACAAAAAGCACAAATTGTTATAAGTTGACAAATGTTTTGATTCAGTTTTAGCTTCAAAGCAAATTTTAAAGAATTCTATATAAAGAGAAAGAAATAGTGAAATAGGTGAGAAGAAAACCATACCTGACTGCTTGTTCTGAAAAATGTTTCCCAGGCTGTCTCTGCCGAAGACTGTGCAGATCTCCTCCAGGGCAGAATTCCATAACTAAACACGAAAACTTATCCGTCTCAAAGTGGGTGTAGAGTGTCGGGAGAAAAGGATGGTCGAGGGATTGTAGAATTTCCCTTTCTGTCTGAGCACGAAGAAGCTTCTTACGACCAGCCAGAGACGCTTTATCCATCACTTTCATGGCAAAATAACACTTCGTTCCACTCAATTCTGCCAAGTAAACACTCCCAATATCTCCACAACCCAATCTCTTTAGCAATCTGAAATGGCTTAAACCCAAGACCCCATCTTTTGCTCGGACAACTTGAATGGCTTCCCATCTTAAGTCATTTGCTTTATGAGGTTTACTGACACTGCTAGTGAAACTGCTACAAGAGCTCTCATCGCTCACATCAGTGCTCGTGCTCCCTCTGCACATACTGCTCTTCCCACTCTCAGCATACTCAGCACGACCACTTATTTTGGCGGTTCCACTAGTCTTTGGTAGGCTGCTGGTTCCATTTGCAGAAACCGAACTGTTCTTTACACTACCCGGCTCAGATGTTTCCTTTTCTTGATCAACAGACACTTCCCGGAAGCTCCTGGACTCGTTCACTTTAGGTGTAGACACTTGATCATTGTCAAGTGATGAGATCACCGAATGAGATTTATCAGTTGAGGAATGAGAAGAGCCTTTTTCATTACAGTTCTCCGATTTTTTATCATCTAGAGCTTTCACAGCAACAGGAACCGAAATTTTGCCAGATTCCTCTATTTGCTCAAAAGGAACCGGCTTGTGTTTATTCATCAACGAGGCCTGTGAAGGCAAAGATCTAGACTTACTTGCATCTGCTGATTGATGAGCTCCGGTGGACTTTTGCTGTATTTCAGGACAATGTCTAGCTCCAATTATTGATGCCATTAGACACAATAAAAAAAAAAAAACCCTACCGAAAATTTAGATCCAATCGTTCCATCCTCCAGCAGCCATTTTTATATCCATCATAAGGCCAAAGAGATCCAAACGTCTACTTACACCACAAAACTGTCAATGACAAACCAAAAAAAAAAAAACTTATCAATTATAATGATACTCCATGGGTGTAAACAAAGGTTCAATACAATAGCTTCGCTGAGTTAATAAAAATAACATTAAAGATACAGAAGGGCCCCCACACCCTGGCATGATAGTGCATGTGAGCATGTGAAAGGAGGTAAATCACGGTAACTCCTTGGCTCAGCAGACAGGACAAATGCCGGCCCGCACAAGGGATCTGTCCACTTTGGACATAATCCAAACACTGCCGCTTTTGATCCTTGGTCTCTTTCTCCCCGATAGTATGAACCAGTGAGCTAAGCTCATACGAGCAGATTATATATAATCTACCAAAGGTGAAAGATAGCATCAAATTCACCTAAACACCATTCATCTTCAATAACAGCTAATTAAAACCCAAAGTTACCATAGCAACTTGATCATGCCATGAAGAAGAGGATAACTAATACAAAAGCCAAATTTATTAAAATAAACAAAAACAAACAAACAAACAAACACAAACAGAAGCTAAGAATACATATTTTCAGTGATAGAGAGACATAAGAGTTTTCTTAGTTGAAAGAAGAACAAAAAGTCCTAAAATAGAGCCCAAGCACATTTGCATGCAAAACCTCAGCAACTCTAGATATAGAAGCACTTAAATAGCAACAATATTGACTGATAGATAAAGCTGGAAAAGAAACAAAAATCTTCATACAGAAAAACTCCTCCAAGAAACAATGAAGGAGAAAATGAAGCATTTCAAAATAGCAATCACTAATTTCACAGAACAGAGAGAAAGAGAGGCGTGGAGAAATGAAACTCCTGCGACTCAGACCAATAAAAATCAGATCTTGATCACAGAAACAAGAGACTCCAAAGCAGATCCAAAATCAAGAATTAACCAAAAAAAAAAAAAAACCCAATATTGAACACATACCAGAAATGAAGAGCAGATATTGGAGAGAGGGAAAAAAGCAAAGCAAATTTCACCTGAATTGCAAAAAGATGAGAAAACCCCAGTTGAGTATGAGTTCAGTTGAAGGGTTAGCTTTGGCAGTTAAAGAAAAGGAAAAGGAATGCAGTTCCTAGGCTCTAGCTGACTGTAACTGCTGCAAGAACACCAGAAGAAGAAGAAGAAGAAAGAGATGAAAATTGACTGTCTGGTCTGGGGGGCCTCAGATTCTGGACTACTAGGCGAATTTGGAGAAGGGGGTCAAACAAAAGCTAAAGCGAAGCCAAAGACTCTCCTTTTCATAAACAATTACTATAATATATTACTCCGTATTAAACAAAGAAAATCAAAACTGAAAATTGTTAAAGAATTCATGAATGTGTGTGCGCGCGTGTGATTCAATAATTTTTCGTAGTTTTTTGTCGCCAAGCTGAGGCGAGCCCCAACTCCAATACCCAAACCCCAACTTTTCACCTGTCTGCCATGCCATCCCATACCGCTACTTGCTTCTATTCCTACTCAATTTTCATTAATCATTAATAATACTCCATCCCTCGTATTTTATAGGTCTAATAACAAGAATTAACATAACTTATTTTAATTTTTATAATTTTTTATAATATTAAGTTTAGTATTATACCAAGCACGTTATGTTCAGATGACACCTCTGTGACTCCCCTTGAAGAAAGGTCACAGAACTGCAGTAATTAGAAAAAGTATAAAACATATACTACCTTGTAATAGAGTTAATAATATTCAAAAAAAAGTTTAGTATTAATATATACTCCGTATAATTTATAGAGTTAATTCCAGCGGAAGTCTCATACTATCATATTTTAGAAATTTTAAAATTATTTCAATGATTTTTCAGTGAATAATTCTATTTTAGGCAATAATGTTTTCGTTTCTTCAATTTTTATTTTTTTTTTAATGAGCTAATTTCAGCGAAGGTCTCTTGTATTTACTGACATTTTCAAAGTTAGTCATAAACAATTGTTTTTGTCATTTAACACCCAAGACTATCATATTTTGGACACATTTGATCATTGATGACTTTTTTAGTGAAACACTATTTTAGGAAAGGGTATTTTCCGATGGCAAAGAATATGAATTTCTTGTTTTCAATATATATATATATATATATATATATATATATATATATATATATATATATATATATATATATATATATATATATATAAATTTCTTGCCTAGTAAAACATTTAATGTAATTTATAAAATATATAACTTTTATTTATTAAGTACTTTGAATCAATTTATATTAGTCGGATGAGATAGGAAAAAAAGTAACAATTACGTGGCATGGTGGATGTAAAATTGTAGAAAGGATTGAGGAGTAATTGACACAAGGGGAACAGGAGATTGTTGTCATTTGAGTGGACATTACAATAATTAAATGTCTCATTATCCATGAAAATTATAGGTGTGTGTGTAAATAGGGAATGGACCATTTTTCTATGGATAGATTGCGATTTGCAGCTTACAATTATGAGAGCTTAGGATCCGATAATAACTCCTATTATACTCATATCTATGGATGAAATTAAGTTTGGCCTCAAAGTTGTACGTCGTCCATTAATGTATGTATCTACCTAATTAATTACGGAGTATGTTTTAGATGAAAGGCTTCAAATAGTAGAAATTTTTAATGTGGGATAGAAGTTCAAATACTTTTAAAAGTTATTAATGTAAAAGAATTACGTCTTTTATATTTAAGGACAAATTAAAAAAAAAAATATTGACCAAACACCTTGTGCTCAGATGACATGTAATGATCTCTCTCATGTAGGAGGTCATGAGAAGATCGAGATTCAGTGGAGGCGTTGTTAACTTTTTTGCGCTTCATTAGGTTGAGAAAGTATGTTTGAACAGATACTACAATATAATAGAGTCAGTAACATTCAAAAAAAAAAAAAAAATAAAGTGGAGGCAAAGTTCAAAGGGAGTGAATGGTAAAAGAAAAAATGGGCTTAAACCCGGAACTTGTGATGTTAAATTTTAAAGAACAGTCAACTAAACTACTTAAACGCTTAGTAACTTATATTGCTTTTATCCAGACACATTATATTAGTGTTGCATTAAAAAGACTTTGTGTGATGAACTCAAACTCGTGAATATTTAATTAGATACGAGAATCATATTTCACTCACTTGTCATTCCTTATCGAGCATTATCTGTATTCATTGATCGATAAGATTTTGAGTGTAATTTAGTAGTAAGTTACAACTATTTTTAGATATTAGTCTTATGTTTATGGATAATAAACTTGAGTTTGAATCTCACATTCCTATCATCTCATTTCCAATAAAATCCGGATGCACCATATTAATGTATTATTTGTTTTTTCTTAAAGTTATATTTAAATGATAGATTTTTCTTTTGCGATTTAATTGGTCGTTACAATTACGCTTGATTTGGATTTTTTTTTTTTGTTTTGTAAATACTTATGAAAATAATTACTCCGATCCATAAATGTCTCTTTTTTTTTTTTTCTTTCAATATAAAAAATAATTAAATATATAGAGTAGAACAAAGCAATCGACATCCTTACAAATAGAAGTGTTCCTTGCACAAGGAAGGTGCTGGTTCTCACTTCGCATAACTTATAATTTTTTTGGTATTCCCTTTTTTGAAACAAATGGCAATATAATTCAAAGGGAAAAATATAAAAGGAAATTATCTTTATTCAACAAAATTATATTTGACAGGGTGAAATTAAATTCCTTCTTCAAGAAAGCTTTAATAAGATTGGAGAAAGTTGGAACATCAACAACAGCACTTCAGAAATTCTTCTTTCTTTCAAAAGGTGAACCCCAACTCTAAGGTAGGGCCCCCTACACCCCGACCCGATAAAACATTTGAGATGATGTAAATTATGGTAACTCAACTGAACATGAACCATAGAGACTAAACATTTGCTCACTGCGCACAAAGAATCCCCTCATCACTTTGAGAGGTTATTATTACTCTTTCTTGGTAGAATGGTAGTTGGTCCAATCAAGACAATGGTTTACCAACAATGTGTGCTATGTGGTAAGCAGTCTTAAATCTCAATAAATGTCCTGCATCTTTAAGATTAATTCTATTTAATTTCTACCCATATATTTTTATTTCAAGAATAATTTAACAAATGTTTTAAGAGTACCAATTATAAACCATTAAATATTGGAATAAGGGTCAAATAAGTCACTCAACTGCACACCAAATTGCAATTGTGCCATCGAACTCAAAAGAATGCAATTGGGTCCCTGAACAACACAAATTCATGCAATTCAACCCAAAATGACCTGTTTACCTGGAAATGCGGTTATTGAATTTAAAATATTTTTTTAATAATTTAAAAAAAAAATTTTAAAAAAAAAAAAAAAAAAAAAAAAAACTCCTTCGTTACTGAGGAGACGAAGAAGAGACTGTCTTGAGAGTACCAATTATAAAACATTAAATATTGTATATTATTAACAAAAAATTTAATATAAACAAAAGAGTGATGAAACCTTAAGGCTTGTTTCTGCTAAGTGACAAGAATTTAGATGTTGTAATCGTTAGTCATGAGTTAGGATATCATTCGTAGGTTATATCATGTAGTTTTTCTTTAATTTGTAGATTGGTGTTTCTACCCTCTTTAATATGCTAGATTATTAGTTTTTATTCTAAGCACAAAAAAATACAAATAAAAGGTGATGAATTTACGCAATATAGAAGAGACATGATACTAAATGCACAGATTTAATTACGATTCATTTAACATTGTCCGTTAGTGTTTTCACCATGAGTGGCTTTCATTTGGGTTCCATCTTTTAAGTTATGAACTTTGCTTTATAGTGATGAATTAATACTACAAATGACCTCTGACTATTGGGCAAGTACTTATTTTAGTCTATCAAATTTTAATTTGACCAAAACATGTACATTGACTTTCATTTTTTTTTAATTACAAATAATAATCCGTTAAGATTTTTGTTAAATGGATGTTAAATCTAAAAGTATTATCATCAAATTAATTAATATGATTATGATTACCTCTTTTAGAGAATTATGTGGGTTAATTAATTTAATATGAATATAATTCATGGATTGTTCCTTTAGCCTAATGTCACGCCTATGCCCAATCCAAGTATCCCAACACCATCAATTGTAATTGTTAAATAAATACATTTTTGAAAAACCCCATCTGAGTTGGTCAAACAGTTGACTTGATAACCATAAATTTTCAAATTTGATTATCGGTACGAGCTACCTATTGATTTTCTTAGTTTGAACCAATAAGCTATGGGCAACCTATATATGCAAGTTTAATTACCTCATTGTAGTCTTTTGCTTTCTAGGTCAGAAGGTGGATTTCACCCATAACACACATCTGGGTAGCCGATGCTGACTTTTTGTAAATTCAAAAATAAATGTATTTTGACGAAAAGTAATTCTCTCTCATAGATTTTAATTCAATAAGAATGTGATATTATATATATATATATATATATATATATATATATATATATATATATATATATATATAATTTATAAATTTAACTTTATATTACTAACTCATATTTATATATGTAATTTTTCCCTCCTAATTCTATCACCTTCTAGTGTTCACCTCTTGAGTGGTAATAAAATTCTTTATATACATTGATTTTTCATTAATTTGTCGATCCTACCACAAATAAAAAAAAAATAGAATCTACTCAATAATCAAATATAAATAACATCCAATAAAATATTACGATATAAGAAGACGAATATTATAAGGTAAATTTAAGATGATACTATAATGTTATCATTTATTATTTGTGGAAGGATTTTTTAAAGCTTGTGTATTAAACTTCATTGGTCAACAATAAGTCCTATTTTTATTTTTTCAAAATAAGTATTTATTTATTGTAATTTATCAATGCATACCATAAAATTGTATCATCTATAAATTTATTTGATACTATAACTATCATATATGGAAGGGAGTGGGTTTAAGCCTCAGTGGAGGCGACATTGACTCTTTATGCTTTAGTTGGTTGAGAAAGTAATTTATGAACAGATACTACATTGTAATAGAGTCAGTAGCATTTAAAAATAATTATCAGATAATTGTACTTCTGAAATAATGATAAATAAGAGTTAATTCCAATTTTTGCCCTAGACTTATATGTGTCATTCCACTTTTAGTCATTATTTTTTTCAAAACATCCCATATTGGTCTTGATATTATTGTGGCATGATCATTTTTTTGTCCTCTGCTAATAAACATGTTTAAATGACGTTAAATACGA